CTTGGTGGTAGAGTGGTCCATGATGCACTGGGTCTCCAAAGTGCTTTCCAAATTCCCTCTGACCAGCAGAGAAAGATTTTTTGTATCAAAAGTTTCAGCATAAATCTCAGAAACTGACATATACAGAAGACTCCTTTGGGCATGTCCACAGTGTTGTTTCCTACCCCACAACCTGATCATGGGCACGTGATCATTGACACCTCACAAAAAACCAGGCCTTCACCTGGGAAAGATAGGTGAGCTTGTCCACAGCATACTCAAATGTTTCGGCTGGAGAGGTCCTAGTGTCAGGAGACATACAGATGCTGCTTTAGGTTGAATGAAAGTGACTGTTTCAGAGATCTTCCCAGGAAAAACTGGTAAGGCAGTGGGACCATGGAGGTCAAGAGTAGGCAAAGGGGTGCTACCAAGTGAAGTCGCAGAACAGTTGGCTTGGTAAGCCCCAGGGAGCCTGGATTCAGTGTCTGGGAGGGGTACACAGGAGCCGCTTGCTGTATTTATATCTCTGACTCTGTCAGCCATTGGTTCAGCCCTGTTCCCAGGGAGCACCCTTTCCCGGGCACTGCCTGCTGTCTGAGCACACAGGCTGATGGGTTCCTACAGCCTGAGCACAGTCCACCTGCAAAGAGACACTTGTTCTGGCCTCAGTAAATAAAAGCACACAGGCAGAGCTCAGCGCAAAATGGAAATGTAGGCACCCATTCTTTTTAAAGCAAGAAAAAGATGCCATTAGAGGTACTGAAATAAAAGCTTTTCCCTTCCATCCACAGTCTCTGTCTTCACTTGTCACGGCTTGTTGTTTTCTTTTTTTTAATTTGCTATTTCATGCCACTCTAAGAAAAGGGAAATTTAAATTTTAAATTATTAGCATGAATTTTACCTTTCATCTCCACATTGTGTGATGCCAGTTTTAAATGCAAATATAAGAGCATTTAACTCATATGCTCATCACCACAATTACACGATTTGCATACTTTGTTCTTACAGTCACACAGTGGAAAAGCTGCACAAAACTAAGTCAGCTGCTTTTATTTCATTTCTTGATTACGCCCATTGTATTAACAGTCCCATCTTTGGCTTAGACATGAGTTAGGAAGGATGGAAAGGAAAGGAGCTCAGGGTTGGCTAGAACCGTATGGGAATGTCAGTAAGAATGGACGAAGGGTATTTCGGTCATCAATATGTTTTAGCATGTCATCCTTTTCTTTCTGTGTTGGAAACAAGTTTTGGTTCAAAAGGAAAGCGTGGCCTCTGGGGGTGGTCGGTGTCCCTCCCTCACACAGCTTAACCAGTGGTAGACAACCAGTGGTATTCGTTTTGAATCTCTAAGAACCGCCACACCTGTGGGTCCACTAGAGTTCTGTGTTTCCAGTGAACACACTACAAGAATGGAGTAATAAGAAAAGGCAGACAGGCATATTAGATGCATCTCTTCTTGCCTGTGCATGCTCTGTTGTCCCATCAGAGTTCACTTACAAAATTCAAGTTCAAAGAAAAATCTATTAAGAATTTTAATATGGTGGCAGTGGAGCCTTTAAACCCAGGCAGGGGTCCTTCTGAGAATGCTCCTACATACCATGACGATGACCTTGCAAGCAGGAAGGCAGCATGTATGAAAATGCTAAAGAGAGCCCAGGGCACGTGGGGGGAACGCAGGAAAAGAACACTGGGAAGCCAGGCCTCCACACAGCTGAGCTTGCACAGGAGGAGGCTAGCACAACCAAAAAGATGGCTTCCCAGAGGTCATAGCCCCAGAGCACAAGCCATGTCAGGAAAGAGGAGACAAGAAGAGACAGGGGATCAAGTGGAGGGAATAAAGTCAGAGCGCTGGTTAACCAGGACACAAGACACTAAACTGGAAGCACCAGGAGCAGCCCCTGAAACAAAACCAAGGATCACATAGAGGGGCAAGATACTAGCAAAGGTTATCATAAACCAGTGCAATTTGGATCTGATCGCATCCCAGAATGCTGAGCGCCCCCGTGACATCCCTGTAAGCATGGAAGGTACCTGTCATGGGCCTGCACCGGGCTCCGGACGGGCCAAACCTTGTTTGGCAACCTGGCCTCCCAGGTCCTTCCCACTGCTCCACCTTCCTGGTAAAAAATGAGACAACTGTTCTCGCGCTCTTGCAGAGAGCAATTCCTTCTCCAAAGCTCTCAGCATGCTTGTCCCTATGGTTTCATTGTGAAAACAAGCAGGAAACTGGCTCCGTTGAACGTGTGACATGGGATGTGGTTTATGGTGACCCACCAGCTCACAGGACACTGGGTATAGTTGTTCATTGATAAGACTTTGCGAGACAGCAGCTGGAGGCTGTCACTTGGGCAGTGTTTAACCACCTGCAGGCCTCCTTCTGTCAACTATGACTCAGTCACCTGTGTCAACTCATAGCAGGGTTTCTAAACGTTGGCACTGTTAACATTTTGAGACAGATAATTCCCTGTAAGAGCAACTGTCTTATGCACCCTTAGATGGTTAGCAGCATGCCTGACCTCGGCCCAGTGGACAATTGTGACAGTTGTGACAATCAAAAATGTCTCCAGACATTGCCCCGTGTCCCTTAGAGGACATAATTGTCCTCAGTGAGTCAGCGACTTAGAGCATGTGGTCTCTGCTGAGGAACACACCTATAAAGATACCACTTTCACTATATGCTCTTAGCTGACTTACTCCATCTTTTTTTTTTTTTTTAATGCTTATTTATTTTTGACAGAGGGAGAGAGAGAATGTGTGTGTGTGTGTGTATGAGCAGGGGCGGGGCAGAGACAGAGGGAAATACGAATCTGAAGAAGGCTCCAGGCTCTGTCAGCACAGAGCCCGCCGATGTGGGGCTTGAACTCACGAACCATGAGATCATGACCTGAGCTGAAGTCGGACACTTACACAACTGACCCATCCAGGTACCCCTGACTTACTCCACTTTGTATGTTAGCCTGAGTCTGTTTTTCTGAAAGCATCTCTTTAGCGTCTCATTTTCCTGGTAGCATGATGTCCCATGTCTTGGCTATGTTCATAGGGCCTTAGCAGGAAGTAAAGCCATTTAATGCGTAAGTCTCCTTGTTCTTGTCCATCCAAAAGGAGTTACATGAGCCTTTGAAAATTGCGGCAAAACATATGCATCTCTAGCCCTTCAAAGATTACTGTGAGCTCACCATCCCTTTTTTCTTTCTCTTAGGGTACAGTGTACTAATATCTAGCAAGACCTCAGTATATGCTGGCCTTGTCATATGTTTTATCTCATTTAATTCTCAAGGAAAAAATATAACTCCTATAAAAGATCATATTCATTTTTACAGACGGGAAAATGAGGCTGGCAGTTAAGAAATAACTTGCCCAACACCACCCCCGTAGTGAATGGATTTGAACTCGTTTTTTGGCTGATAATCTAAGACCCTTTAACTTCTACCAATGTCTTTCAACTTTACTGCACATAGGAATCACCAGGAATGGGCCAGAGTGGGGCATGGAGGTTGTGAACAATGAAGGTTCCCAGGCCTCCTCCCACAGAGATTCAGAAGATAGTTTTGGAATAGGTCCCATGAATCAGCATTTTAATGTTTATTTATTTATTTTGGGAGAGAGAGAGAGAATGCTTGCATGAGCAGGGGAGGGGGAGAGAGAGAGGGAGAGAGAGAATCCCAAGGAGGCTCCATGCTATCAGCACACAGCCCAACGTGAGGCTCGAACTCATGAACTGTGAAGTCATGACCTGAGCTGAGATCAAGAGTTGGACACTTAACCAACTGAGCCACCCAGCCTCCTCTCCAGCCCCTCCCCCCCCCCCCCCCCCCCCCCCCCCCCCCCCCCCCCCCCCCCCGCTCCAAGAATCAGGACTTTAAACAAGTGTTCCCAGTGATTCTAATGCAGGTGGTCTAAATCCTTGGCCTTCCCTGGAATCATTGCCTACCCTGGCTAGATCATGAAAAATCTGGATCAGCTCGGAAGTTGGATGTCTGCATATTTTATCTTTCAAATAGTCTGGAAAACAAGGGTTACAAGACAGTGTGATATGTTTCCAGGAAAAAATGTTAGCAAACCATAAGAAGAATAATATTTGGAGGGCTCAGTTCCCATTAGAATTCAGCAAATGCTCCAGAAGATCTCCCGAGGTTCAGATCTATTTTAAGGGGGAAAGAAATGGCAGAGGCAGAATGGAGTTTCAGACTTGAGTTTCTGGCCTGAGATCATGAGCCAAAATCAAGAGTCAGACGCTTAACCAACTGAGCCACCGAGAGGCCCCGCAATTTAATATTTCTATACCTTAGTGTGAGTTTTGAGTCCCTGTTTTCTAGCTGCCTCAGACACGGTAACATGTTAAGCCTGTTCTCCACTGCTGAATTTTGAGGAATAGTAGACTTTATTCACAGGGAAGGAATCTCTGGTCTTGTTCTGATAATAGTTCACAGGATAGTGGGGAAGGAAGGGAGGTGGTCCCTGTAAGGATTAGGAATGATCTCCTGGTGCCAGAAGCAGAAATGCAGTTGTGCTCCCAAGTTCCCATGTGGAGAGGGGCCGTGTGAGTGACTCAGTGAGTGTGTGTGTGTGTGTGTGTGTGTGTTTATGAAGGATTTTGAGTCTAAACTTAGGTCAGGAGTTCATCCCAGGTCCAGGAAGCTGTGAACAGTAAAGCGCAACCATTTTGCCCAAACTGAAATCTGGAACCTATCTCTCTGAGTGAACAGGACAACCAAGGGCATCTATTTGGCTGGGGAGATATTTCAAATGGCATGTGCTACAACCACAAATAAAATAGTTTATTATCATTACTTTCTTTTTTTAAATTTTTTATTATTTATTTATTTTAGAAAGAGAGAGAGAGAGAGAGCACAAGCTGCGGAGAGTCAGAAATAGAGGGAGACACAGAATCCGAAGCAGGCTCCAGGCTCTGAGCTGTCAGCACAGAACCCAACGCAGGGCTCTAACCCATGAACTGTGAGATCATGACCTGAGCCGAAGTGGGACACTCAACCGACTGAGCCCCCCAGGCGCCCCAATCATCATTACTTTAATAACAAAAAAGATCATAAAAATAAAGCAGAATCAAAATTCATTCTCTGTGCCCAATAAACCTCTCATTTAAATCACCCTCCTGGTTTCCAAGGTTCTCCCATCCCTGGATCAGAAATAAACTGGGTATGAGCTGGGCAAATTCTCACCTTGGCCTCAGCTTCTCTTCAGCAGGTAGTTTCCTAAAAACTGGCATATCAAAGAAGATCTGTAGAATAAAACAAACAAACGGAAATTTGGTTTACGTTACTTAAAACAAAGCTTCTATTTCATGAGTATCAGGAAAAGAAAAAAAGCCCACCAGATTTCAGGGCTGGCCTATAGGGCATATTTCAAAGTGATGTGTAATGTCACTTCAGACAAGTGAGCTGTTTCTTTTTTCAACCTAAAGATAAAATGGCCAGGGAGAAAGCAGCCAAGTGTCTGAGTAATCTTATTGACGGTTTCATTTTCTGAGTATGACCTGATGCTAGCAACGGCTCCTAAGTAACATGAAAACAAGCCAAGCTAGGCAGTCTCGCTTTTATGAGACATAACCTCCAAGGGCAGCAAAGTCTGAAGGCTAATTCTAGTTACATAACATTGATGAGTCACCGATGTCGTCAGATATTACAGACGGCTAGACTCGCCCTCTGCCTGCATTTTCAGAGCACATAGGCTCTCGTGGACTTCATCCATCTGACACATGCCTTTCACACTCCCTTCCTGAGTTATTTCTAATTTTGTTTCTTTTCTTCTCCATTCTGTGCTGTATTAGTCGGGGTCCTCCTCAGAGACAAAAGTAGTAGCATGGACATATAGCTATAGATATTATGATTTATTATAAGGAAAGCAGCTCATATAAATATGGAGATGGACAAATCCTAAAGTCTGCAGTATGTATATATATACATATATATGTATATATGTGTGCGTATATATATATATACCTGCTTATGGCTCTTCTCCCCACATGACATTCCCCACACGACCCTGGAACCTAACATGTCACATCATTTGCTCACCGACTTAATTCTGGATTTTCTCTTTCTCAGGTTGATACTATCTTCCATGCAATCTCCTCTACTTCTGTCTGGGAGACATTTATCACAAACACTCTCTCCAACCTCCCCTTCTAATTCACTGACTGGCTAAATAGCCACTTGCTCTCGTTTTCATTGTTTCTGTCCTGAGCTTAATGGGGGACCCTCTGGTTTCGCATCTGGATTCTAGCACAGCTCTGTGATGGATTTCTTGCCAGTCACCTTTCCAATTCAGCCACTGGATTCAGTGTGATTTTTCTGACAAAGAAACGTGATCGCATTACTTCCCGGTGAAAAGCTTTCAAAGTCTTTCCCTTTGCTTGAGGATAAAGTGGCAAGAAAATGTCAATGGTCTTGACAGTGGGAGCTGAGATGGCAGGTGGGGGGACGGGAGGGAGGAGGGAGAAGGAGGTCCTAAGGAGACAGAAAGACGAGAGACTCCATTACGGAGGAGATGGGGGCAGCAGCCATAAAGAAAGCACTGACGGAAACCTCTCTGCCTCTGACTTGGATGATGGAATAAATCATGGTCCTGTTCTTCGAGACTGGGGACAGACACTGTTCTTTCTTCGTGGCCAGTTGCATTACCTGGGTGGGGTGCCAACGTCTGGGGAAGCAAGCCTTCAGGAAACCTGAAAGTTTGGGTGGAGATGAGTCAGAGCCTAGTAAAGAAGAAGAAATAAAAATTAATACCAGATGGGGGGGAAAAAGGCAGTTGAAAGTCCCTATAAACAGTCGGCATCCAAGAACTTCACAGGAGTGGAAGGTGCAGCCATGTCCTCTCTTCTGCTAAGAGATTCCTGAAAATTTGCTGGCAGAGACCAGGAAAAGAATCAGGGCCGTGAGCTCAACAAGACATTACGTAAGCGCAGAAGGGTTTAGAGGACCTCATAACTCCGACTTCCACCCTCGTTTATTTCATGATCATTGCCATGCCCGTTTTCTTGGTCAGAGTTTCAGCCGTAGTTTGGAATATCTTGGTGTTTGTAAGAAACCTTCGAACACGTATTACTTCATTGCCATGTCCCCAGGGTGCACGTGTGGACATGCCCTTGGATGAACCCAGGGCCCTGTTCATCCCACTGTTTACTGAGTCTTACCCATTTACAACAAAGGGAAGTTTTGTTTCGTACATCTCTAAAACACACCTGAGAATTTCCAAATCACTTAAAAGCCAGTCCCTTCCAGGGATCATTCTGAAAGAACCGAGGTCACTTGAAAGGCTATACCCCAACATTTAAATGGCTTCAACTAGGCCAAACCACCCAGTTTGAATGTTTAGCCAAATTTCAGTGTGTCCGATGCATTAGGGTATTAAATCCCCTACAAATTCTTCTTTTCATGGCCTGACGAGATCACGGCCATGATATTTACTGTTTTTACACAAATGGAAAAAATATATACCGTAACTAAAAAGAAGTTTCTTAGGTAACCTGGTTAGAATCCTGACTAAGGCCCAAGAGGAGGCTGAGGCACACAATCCTTCTGCCAAAGCCCAGCAAAGAATCTGACTTTTTGCTCTGCAGGCAGGTGGCTGATGGACTGTTTTATGAAGGGTTTAATTAACTCTTTCTGTCTTAGTAACCTACCAAAATAAACCGTGTGACTCCCAATGCGATAGGCGGCCTCCATCAGCTGACAAGCAACATCTCAGCAAGGCTCCACAGCCCAAGGAAATAAAATTCCCCAGGAAGACAACTCAGTACGTGTGTAGTTTCTAGAAGCCTCTATTTCAGGTGCTGTCAGCGGCCAGACAGTGGACAGCCAGTGCGCTCCCCTGAATGCATCATCGGTCCCAGGCCCCGAATCGTCTTGAGGCAGAAATATAAGGGGCACCCAGCTGGTTTTAGCCCCTGTTCTGTTCCTCCTTCTCAAGGTGTCTCCCTCTGGGGAAGCACTGCCCAGTCCCCTGATGAGGGTCTTTCTAACACCTTTGTCCTTAAGCCCGACCTCAGGATACTCCCCAGGTGGTAAAAACATAACATCTTTGATGTTCACAACTGACAAATGCTTAGCTCCTGTGCCTTTTAATTAAATAGCACTGCAATTTCGCCGTCACCTCCAAGGCCTTATCTAAAAGACACAGCAAAGTAGAAACATCACCAAGTGTGACAGGGTGATAGACTGAAACACAGAGACAGAGAGAGAAAGATACTATTTATGGTCAATAATGCCTTTCCTGGTGTCCCACCAGTTACATATCCAGGTGATAACCTATATGACAATGGAATTGAGGACACATTTTGTCTGACTTTTCGTCTTGCACAGGAAGAAACAGAGCCAGAAAAATGGCCAAGTCGCCCAAAGTCACATACAATGGGGACTAGGTTCTCCGGTTTTCTAGTCCTCCTGATTTCCAGGGCACTTCCTGCCATGAACATTGCCAGTTGCATATGGCGGCATGGGAGACAGAGAAAGTTAGAGAACCTGATTTATGCTAGTAACTACCCAGGTCCTTTCCCATCAAGGATCCCATTTCAGGTCCTTAAATATAAGGATCAGATACCACCTAGAGAAATATCCAAGGATAAAACATGTAGACTCAGGGGTCCATTGGCTTCCATATATGAAATGAAATAATTTGCCAGGAAATGAGGAACTTAAGACAGACTGGTCTGAGGAAGCCATAGGGCTGCACTCCTCCACCGTGCTTCTTCCATCCCACAGGTAACTGTCCTACAAACAGAAGCCCTGCTATTTTACCCACGCCTAGATCAAGAGCACTGCCCCCTCTTAATCTGTACTTGTGGTTCTACTTTACCTACCTCTTCCTTTAGAAAGAAGTTTTGTTTTCCTATCATCAAGTCTTCTCACAGAGCTTCAGGGAGTTTACTTCATATGTCCTCAGGCAACAAATACTTACTGAGCAGATATCGAGTGAGGTCCTGGGAAAACAAAGAAGGGGCAGCCACAGTCATTATCCTCAAGAGTTCATCATCTGCACATCCTGTTCATACACAGGTTCTTGTTTGCACACAGCCCTCAGCCCCAGGTGGACAATGAATGTATTTTTAAACCCCAAATTTCAACACATAGTGCTCAAATTAAGCTTGCTTTTCTATTTTTTTTTTTTTTTTTGAGAGAGAGAGAGAGAGAGAGAGAGTGAGCATGGAGGAGGGGCAGAGAAAGAGGGAGAGAGGGAAAATTCCAAGCAGGCTCCACATTGACAGAACAGAGCCCAATGTGGGCTCAAACTCATGGACTGTGAGACCATGACCTGAGCCAAAGTCAGACTCAACCTACTAAGCCACCTAGAAGGCCCAAGCTTGCTTTTCTAATGTGTGAATGTTTTAGATAAACCTCTTTAAAAGGCTTAGAAATTAAGCTGCATTAGTAAGTCTTTTATCAAGTCTCTTTTACTGAAAAGAAACAGATTTCATTAAACCAGGCCTTTTTGAGAAAAATCTGTGCAATATGTTCATCAAACCCACATGCTTGGACTTGCAAAATCTTATAATCATAGTCTATTGTGGTTAGAAAGGATCTGAGATATCACCTAACCCAGAAGATTTAACTGTTGTATTTCATTTTTTAAACAAGGAAATACTTTTTTAAGCCAATATCACCAAGAGCCCCAAATTGTAAACCAGTTAAAATGGGAATGGCTGTGGCCAAAGGAGAAAGGCAGAGCTCAGAACCCTCACTTCCAATCTCCCTCTCTCATGTGCCACCTCTGCTCCCACAGACTGTGGAGCTGCACACCACGAAAATGATAATCCAATGACTCCTCGTGTCCCAAATGAGGAAACTGAGATCCAGAGAGAGCATGGCTTCATTTTAACGGGTTACATCTTCATGACCCCATTTCCAAATTAGGTTGCATTCTGAAATACTAGGAGATAGGACTTTCACATATGAATTTGGAGGTGGGTGGCGGGCGGGGGTAGACACAATCCAATCCATAGCATTGTTTCTTGCCCTGTTTTGATGAAGTTCTTGGCCAAGCAAAGAAGTCTCTGATAAGGGAAAGACGTGAGCATATTTGACAATTACTGGGAAGTCAGGAAAGAGGTATGTCAGGCACATAGAGATATGTCCCTGAGCAGACATTAAGGCCAGATGGAGAGATAGGCTTGGGCACAGGAAGAGAGACACTTCCGTTATTGTCACAAAGAGGCAGGAAGGAGAAAGGAATGAGTTTGGATACAAAATGAATCAGCAGATGAGGAGGAAAGAAGTCGAGAGAGTTCACCTGAGGTGGCTCTAGCTTTCTTCATAAAGCAGGAAGAGATACTGCCTATTGGGGCTGACAATGGAGGTGGGAAATAGGGCTCAGTAGAGGGACTGGAACTGAAACCGGGGACTTGAGGAGAGTGGAGAAGAGTTTGAAATAGCCTTGTGCATAATAGACCACAGCCAGCTATGTCTAGAGGAGGCACCCACTGCATCATTATAGGCAAGGATCTATTAGAATAGAAAGGTGGGGAGATGGGAGGGTGAGCAAACCAGAGGAGCACAGAGGGGCTGCCTGATGGTAACAAGGGCCCAGATGGCATTGGTGACCAAAGTTTATAGTGGTACCATCTGCATGCAGGGTGTGTGGTTTTTCCAGCAATGCTCAACAGCTGGGCGATTGATGTAGAGAAAGTAAACAGTTGAGTACATATAGAGCTGGGCTTTGTCCAGGAGGGTGCATTATAAGGACAGAGGGGAAAGGAGGTTGAGGACATGAGCAAGGGGAACATGAAGTCATAAGGCTCAGGGACCCAAGTAGGTGGAGAAGAAAGTGTGCAGTAAGGAGGCTCTGCTCATTTCTGCCCAAGAGGCTGGTGCATGTCCCTTGCTTTCTGTTGACCAGAGCACATGGTTATTGCTGCCTTCTGGAGGAATAGATGTTGCCAGATGTGACTTGCTAATGAGCCACTAACTGATGCCCCCCCCCCCCCAGCTAAACAATCTCCTCTAGGGTGGTCCTAACTGGCCCCAGCTGGGCCATTTGTGCCCAGTGCTGCTACAACTGTCAGAGCATGCTCTGGGGACATGTGTGCCTCTGTGGAAAGAAGAGGTCAACACCAACTGAATATCTAGTGCATTGGTTTACCCCCTGGGTCAGTCTGCTAATCAGTGTTATTTTAAAATGGGCCAACCCTATTGGTTTGGATTTCATTGCTGTGAATCTTCCAAGGGTACAGATCTTCTCTTAACTGTCATATTCCAAGTAAAAACTATGGATATTACTATAACTATCATCATCATCATTATTATTATTATTATTATATACTTCTACTGATGTTATCAGCAGTCAATTTGAAACTCTAAGCTCCTAGAATCACTTCAGTATTTTCAGAAACAAGTCACTGGGGAGAAAAAGAAAAAGAAACTTTTGAGTAGGATATTAAAATATTCCTAGTACAGAAAGGTTAAAACTAAAAAGAAATGCCAGATATTGTCAGTGGGATCTCCCATACCTTGCTGGTGAGAATATAAATTAGTGCAACCATTTTTATTTTCCGGTAAATAAAAAGAATGCATATCTATCATCCAGCAAATTTCATTCTTAGGTATATGGACAACAGAAATAGATAAAGGTCTACATAACTCTATTATCTTTAATGGCCTCATACTGAAGACGACTCAATTGTCCCTCCATATTAAAATTGATAGATATCAGTACAATGGAATACTATATGGCAATAAAAATTATAAACTACAGCTGTTGGCAACAACATGGGTGAATTTCATGAACAGAATGCTGAGTGGATGCAGTAAACATAAAAGAATACAGATGTATGATCTATTTATTCAGAGCTCAAAAATAGGGAAAAGGTACTCTAGTGTATAGGAATGCCAATTTAAGGGGTAAAGTCTAAAGAAAGGCAAGGAAGTGATTACTGTGATAAGATAGTTACCTTTAGGCAGGATCACTCCTAACATTTGTGGGGCTTAAATGAAGAACTGCATATCATCATCATAGGCCTAAATATTTTAAAGTCAGTTAAACTAACACTAAATGAAATGAAAGATGTTTTAACCTCCACCCGGACAAATATATCTTCATGGCAATCTGGAAGACCAGGTTGGACCCTAGGATTCTTGGGCTGCTTACAGCTTGTCACTGGAACATGTGGCACAGGAAGAGGTGGCCCTGGACCCCCAGACCATCCGTCTTCTCCTCCCATGTCTGCCCCATCCCGGAGGTCAAGGGCCCCTGCGTCTGTATATGTTTATCTGCAGCCTCCTGCAAATATTTGCCCCAAGGCCACCCCTCAGGAAGGTGGACCTGAGCAAGAGGCCGAAAAGAGACCTGGAAGTGGGCTCAGAATCATTTGGACAGGGAATCGGAAGTCCTGGTACTCGGTGAATGGTCTAGAAAGCGAGACATAGATTCTAGGTGGACATGGCCTCTTGACTCTTCTCCCCTTGGAAAGCGATATTGCTGGAGGAAATCTAGAAACCTAACAGCACAAGGCTCAACACAGGGTCCCCCGCATGGGCTTTAGGGTAGTATCCCCTTTAAAGAAAGGGGTTGTATTAGGAAGGGGACCTGGAAAACTTCTGGGGTCCTGGCTCTATGCTGTGCCTTAATTTATGACAATTTATTAAGTTCTACATTTGTTTTACAGTTTTCTGTATGTGTGTTATATTTCACAATAAAGAATTAATAAAACCTATCTATCTATCTATCTATCTATCTATCTACCATCTATCTATTCATCTATTACTCCTGGTACCACCATTTATGGGATCCCTCTGAATTAGCTCTGAATGCTTGACTTTAAGCTCAGACACCTTGGGCAGTTAAAATGCCTCAAGGCATGAATACCACAGGGGGAAATGGACAGAATTCTGGAAACATAGTAACTCTCATCGCTGGTTTTCTCCACCATCTGGGGCCCAGATACTTGGGTGACCATGGATGGGCTTGGGCAGCGCCTGTGAGTCATGGGCCTGTGTTCTCTTGCCTAGCCCCTGTAGAGCGCCTCAGAGGAAAATTCTCTTTTCCCCCATCTTAACCAAGATTTTAAATACTGTGTTTATCAAACCAAAATTACAGGAAGGTATTCCCATCCTAGCAGAAGTGAAAGGAGACCAACTCCCAATTATCCTCTGTTTGGAAAGCAGTTCTGAGAAGCCTTCTCTTCCCCATAAGGGCAGCTGGATAAATTCATTAGTTTGCTAAGCTTCTACTATGTGCCAGACGCAGTCCTTATTTTTCTGCTCCACACTTCAAAACACCCATTTGGTTTTGATTCTTCATACTTGATAGGAAAAACACTTTCCTTTCACAAAGATTCAGATTCCTGGTTCTCAAAGAGATTTCTGTGTAGCCCATGTGGTTTAAATATCAGGACTTTTCTAACAATATATATTTCAACTATGCTCCATAAGGATACACACACATTCTCTCCCTCTCTCTCTCTCTCTCTCTCTCTCTGTCACACACACACACACACACACCATCCCCAAAAACCGTTTAGCAGTGAGATGATGAAAGGGAAGTGAAAATCAGGCCTCTACTAACCAACCAAAAGCCCAGTCAATTTTTTCCCCAAAAAATAAAATTCTGGGCTTTGCATCTAAACTGTTTAAAAGCCACATTGCCAAAGCACCAGTTTTCCTCATTTTAGGGAAACAAGGAAAGCATATGGCTGCAGTGACCTTCTCAAGCTGTTGATGAGAGGTAGAGTCAGGCACATGTGGTGGCTTCAAAATGATAAAAGCAACAACATAAAAAGGGATAATGAAGCAGTGGGTGGAGGGCTGGAGGAACAAGTTAAATCAATGACAGTCACTGACATTTAGCACTGACAGTGCTAAAACTGTAGACAATGGACAATGAAGTATCACTCACTTCTACCATTCTGTCCCAATATGAAATGCCTGGCAAATATTGACCCATCACTCAAGACTCCATCCCAAGT